CACCCCCCCTCCCCCACAATCGAACCATAGAACCCACACAAGGATAATATTGATTGATATATAAAAATGTAAATCTAACATAGATTCACGAACCTAACAAACCTTTCTACAACATAATTTACACTGGCCGAATATTAAACATGGGTCTTCTCTCTAGATAAAAAGGTGCCAGTACTCACCACAGAGTTTCTTAGAAAAGGTGCCAGTACTCACCACAGACTGTCTTATAAAAGGTGCCAAAACTCACCACAGACTGTCTTAGAAAAGGTGCCAAAACTCACCACAGACTGTCTTAGAAAAGTTGCCAGTACTCACCACAGACTGTCTTAGAAAAGTTGCCAGTAATCTCCATAGATTGTCTTAGAAAAGGTGCCAGTACTCACCACAGAGTGTCTTAGAAAAGATGGCAATTACTCACCACAGATTGTCTTAGAAAAGGTGCTATTACTCACCACAGATTGTCTTAGAAAAGGTGCTGTTAATCACCACAGATTGTCTTAGAAAAGGTGCCAGTACTCACCACAGAGTGTCTTAGAAAAGGTGCCAGTACTCACCACAGAGTGTCTTAGAAAAGATGGCAATTACTCACCACAGATTGTTTTAGAAAAGGTGCTATTACTCACCACAGATTGTCTTAGAAAAGGTGCTGTTAATCACCACAGATTGTCTTAGAAAAGGTGCTATTACTCACCACAGAGTATCTTAGAAAAGGTGCCAGTACTCACCACAGAGTGTCTTAGTAAAGGTGCTACTACTTACCACAAAGTGTCTGTTTCAGTAGTGCTGAGAAGATTGACACCTTAAAAAAAGTGATAGTATTGAGTACTGCAAGGAATAAATAAATATTTAATATTTTTTGGGTAAAAAATAATTTAGATTGATAGAACATCACAAATATTGATAGACCGTAACAGGTGGCGTCTGTAAAATGTAGGTGTTAATGTGAGTGCCCTGTTAACCCTAACCGAACCAATATTATTCATCAAGATTCATTACCTCGCACCAATATCTCACTAGCTTAAAGTTCTGACATTTTTGCTAACCAAAATTTCCCTCACAGGTGACGCCTATAAAATTGAAGATACCAAAAAAATTGAAGATATCAAAAAAATTGAAGAACCGGAAGGTAAAACTAATGTTGAAAACGCCACAAATACCTTATGAGTTTTAAAATGGGCAGCGAATATTTGTGTTTTTTCTGTTGTGTTGCTGCCATTTCATTTGTTCAGATTATTTTTCTTCTTTTTTTCTGCTTTGGTACCTTATTATTTATGTATGTTTTGTTTTCTTTATGAAGTATGTTTCGTTCCATGTTTTTCTTTTTTAATTGGTATGGAATCTATTCTTAGTTTTTACTGGAATTCAGTCTCCAGATTTTCAAACAATTGCAAGTATATATTAAAAAAAATATTACATTTGTAAAGATACCCACACAGCAGCTTTTTGGTAGGTTGAACTTCAAATCTAAAATTTGTTGAATTTAAATATTATTTTTGGCATTTATTGCTTTATGTATTACACAGTGTATGAGTGTTTTGACATTGCATTTTTAGTTGGCACAATGTTTTCTCTATTATTTTATATAAAGTTTTATAAGTGATTATTGTTGTTAAAATTTACTTATCTTTTTTTTTTAAAATGGATACTGATAAATGTTAACAAGCTCACATGCTCACTACTACACAGTCCCACACACATTCTAATAAACCTGCTGTCTATCTGTATATATTTGTTCACATTTTAAAAGATTTCCTCCAGCTAATAACTATATATTTGTTTAGACCATTTTTGCTGATTTTTTCCTAGTCAATGAGTATATATTTTTGCATATAATATTCAGTCACATTTTTTTTACAGCCAATAAGTATACATTTATATAAAACATTCTAGTAGATTTATTGCAGTAAGTGTAACAATTTATTCAGAACATGTAGCAGATTTTTGCCAGCCAGAAAGTAGACATTCATGTGGGTCATTCTATTAGTATTTTTCCAGCCTACATATAGCAGAACATTCTAGTAGATTTATACTACGACATATGTGTGATTTTATGTGACGCCTTCATGTTCTAACATCGTGACATCTCATAGCCACACTGACCATACATTAGTACCCATGTGTGTTCTAGTTCAAGTATTCTTGAACTGTTAGTACTGTGGTGGATGGGTTTATCTCATTCACCTCCCCTAGTTATGTCTTCATCATACGATTTTAGGATTGCACAGAAAAACAATTCTTTGGACACAAATATGTGCCAGTATGTCTAACATAAGCCGTATTCCATATTATGAAACAACTGTGCAATCACTCACCTACACTAAATACACCCATTAAAGACAAGCAGGGTAAACTACTGCTGTCCGACGACCAACAAACAAAGCGATGGGCAGAACATTTCAAGGAAATATTAAATAGGCCAAATCCTGACATCATTCCCAATCTAGAAGAAGAAATTATTACACCGACACTAGTTGCCTCCAGCGAGTCATTCACAATAGAGGAGATTAAAACAGCTATTAAAAAATTAAGAATAAACAAAGCTACCGGAGAGGACAACATCTCAGGGGAAATGCTCAAAGCAGCGGATGAAAACACCCTGCAACATTTGCTCCAGCTGATGGATGAAGTCTGGCAAAACGAATACCCACCACAACAATGGAAAGATGGTGTAATCTTCAAATTACCTAAAAAAGGTGATTTATCCGATTGTAACAACTGGAGAGGCATCACCCTGCTTTCGATACCAGGGAAACTATTTTGTAGTATGCTACTAGAAAGATTGAAAAAATCCATAGATGAAAGATTAAGTGAAGAACAAGCCGGTTTTAGATCCAAGTGGTCATGCATAGATCACATCTTTACTCTTAGAATAATTGTTGAAGATTCTACAGAATTCCAGTCGAAATTATTGATCAACTTTGTCGACTTCCAAAAAGCCTTCAACAGTATCCATCGTCCAACACTCTGGAAATTGCTTAACATCTATGGTTTCCCCATCAAATATATCAACATCATAAAATCTTTTTATAATGAAACACGATGCTGTGTAAGAACTGATTCCGGAAATTCTGACTGGTTCCCGGTGGAAACAGGAGTGAAGCAAGGCTGTGTCCTATCGCCGATGCTTTTTGGTATAGCAATCGACTGGGTCATGCGCAAGTGCAAAAATAACGCAAATTTAGGCATTACAAAATTCTGGAAGACCTAGACTTCGCTGACGACATAGCACTCCTGAGTTCAGAACACACAGACGCCCAAGAAAAAATCAATCGACTCCAGAATTTCTCAGAACAAATTGGACTCCAAATTAACACCGCAAAAACAAAAATTCTAGACCTTACCAACAGTTCAGTTGATATCACGCTGAACAACAACAGCCTTGAAAAAGTCAACAGTTTCACTTATCTAGGGAGCAAGATGTCATCTACAGGAGATACCGCACCAGAAATACCATTTAGAATAGCACTGGCATCTAGTGCCTTCAATAAATTGTCCAACATCTGGAAATCAAAGACACTTAGCAAACACACAAAACTCAAGATCTTCAATTCTTGTGTGATTCCAGTACTAACCTATGGATGCGAGAGCTGGAAATCAACGAAAACTCTAGACACAAAATTAGACAGTTTTGAAAATAAATGCCTTAGAAGAATACTAAATTTCAAATGGTCAGATTTCCGAACCAATACACAAATAAGGCAAGAATCCAGGCAAGAGTATGAGACTAATTTTATACGAAAACGCCGCTGGAACTATGTCGGCCACGCCCTCAGAATGGATAAATCAAGACTTCCTTACCAAGCCCTCATTTGGACACCACAGGGGAAAAGATCTCGTGGAAGACCAAGGGAAACCCTACGTAGAACTATCATCAGGGAAGGCTCACTCTTGGGCCACTCAAACATCCAAGACCTACAACAGATTGCAACGAACCACCATGCATGGAGAGTCATGACCTCTGCCCTATGTGCCGCACTCGACACAAGAGGAAAGACTAACTAACTAATGTCTAACATATGTAGTTACAGTAACAGTTGAGACAAAGTAAGTTAATGTAGCAATTTTCTGGGATAGAGTATGTAATTTAACAGTTCTGTGGGATAGAGTGAGTTAACCTAACAATTTTAGGAGATAGAGTGAGGTAATTTTAAAATGTTAAGAGACGCAGTGAGTTATTGTAACATTTTATAGGATAGAGTGAGTTATTGTAACAATTTTAGGAGATTAAGTTAATGTATCAGTTTTGTAGGACAGAGTGGGTTAATTAATTTGACAGTTCTGCGGAAATGTAACAGTTATGTGTGTTAGAGCGAGTTAATATAACAGGTCTATGGGATAAGGTGAGTTTATGTAATAATTAAATGAGATTAGGTGAGTTAATGTAACAGTTCTATGGGATACGGTGAGTTAATGTAACAGTTATAAAGGATAATGTGAGTTAAAAAACAGTTCTATTAAATAAGGTGAGTTAATGCAACAGTAAGGACAGAATGAGTTGGTGTAACAATTATATGGTCTCGATTGAGATAATGTAATAGTTAGAACTGTGTGAGCTAATATAACAGTTCTTTGGGTTAGAGGTAAAGCAAGACAATAGAATCGGATAGAGTGAATTAATGTCACAATTAAACATATGGGCTAGAATTTAGAGAAGTAACATTTGGAATGGAGTTAGTTAGTATAATAATTATATTTCATATGTAAGACATTAAGAAAAGAGTTAACAAGAACCCCTAGATGAGTTAATTGGCCCAGTTAATCCAATTGTTTTAGGTTTTGATTTGAAAGCCATAGAAAGCACTCATTAAAAGAAATTAGTGCTTTCCAGCACTCGCTACCATTTCCACTGCACATGTGTTAATCTTCTGTTTAATGTTCATTGAGAGCACAGTTCATTTTTTTGTTCGTTAATTCTTTAATTGAATGTTGTAATTTATTTCTTCCAACTTTCCTGATTATTTCCATATGGCGCTGAGCTTTGTTTCGTGTCATCCCTGCAGGAAAAGACTATGCTGTGGTCTATGGTAATTAGCTATAAGATTTAATTCATGTTTTGATTTTACTCATTGCTGCATGTTGTTTAAAAAACTGCTTTTGTAACCTCATATTTTGGTGATCTTGTCTGGTGCTGTTTATTCATTTTTATTTTATTTTATTCATCATCATCAGCACCTTTATATTTCATTATATTAGATTTTGTGCTTTTTATATTTTATTGTCAGTGTGATTATTATTGTTATTCTCATCAATGTCATGATTATTGTAAAGATCAGTGGTTCTCAACCTGTGAGTCGCCACCTCTTTGATGGTCTAATCAATATTTCACAGGGGTCGCCTGAGACCATTAGTTAGTTAGTTAGTTAGTTAGTCTTTCCTCTTGTGTTGAGTGCGGCACATAGGGCAGAGGTCATGACTCTCCATGCATGGCAGTTCGTTGCAATCTGTTGTAGGACTTGAATGTTTGAGTGGCCCATGAGTGAGCCTTCCCTGATGATAGTTCTACGTAGGGTTTCCCTTGGTCTTCCACGAGATCTTTTCCCCTGTGGTGTCCAAATGAGGATTGGGAAACATATATTCACTGAACTTATGAAGTAGCGATGAGAATAATGTTATGATTGGGGGTCACAACAACGTGAGGAACTGTATTAAAGGGTCGCCGCCTTAGTAAGGTTGAGAACCATTGTATTAGATTGTGCTGTTTGCGTTTTCTTATTGTATCATCATCACTATCTCCATTACTATCATCACCAGTATAATAGTTATGTGAGAAAATTACCATTGTTGTTGTAGTTACTATTAATTCTCATGAAATTTGCTATTTAAAAAGCTTCTAAATATGTAGTTATTTTGCTATATAATTTGTTTGCTTGTCAGACTTGGTAGGATGTAAAACATTAGGTGTTTATAACTAAGATATCCGTATTTGCAGACTGTGGGTGTGTATGTGTGAGTGTATATATATATATATATATATATATGCGTGAAAAACTGTAACAGTTAAATATATGGGCTTCATTTTCTTCTTCTTCTTCTTCTTCTTCTTCTTCTTCTTTCGTTCGTTCACTTGAAATAGATTATCTGTATCTGCAATGTTGTCTCCAGTATGAATTTCACTGTCTGCTATCATTCACTCAGCGACCAGTAAAGTCTGACTTCATTTTATAAAATGATGTTTTAGCCTCTCCTACTCCGTTCTTAATCTCTGTGATACATCTTCCATTCCCCCGTGTTATCCATACGCCTAGATTGCTGCACATATCCTAAGATAACGCCTTTTACTTTTATTTTACTTTTGGGCTCTATTCTTTATATACACACACAAAGTGTCAGTTAATTTCATAATGAGGCAACTCACAACACACTTCTTTTGTTTTAAAAGCGAATTACCTCCATCTGTCTTTACTCAACATTGTTAACTCGATTTGTGAACACCAGATTCACTATATATATATATATATATATATATATATATATATATATATATATATATATATATATATATATATATATATATATATATATAAATCCGCCATGATGCGGATTGGAATTCAGAACCTTCCGGGCGTCAAACAAGCGTCTAGCTACTGCACCACCAGCGTGCGGTTGGGTGTGTTTATTTACGTTATAATCCTCCTCTTCATTTCTTTTCTCTACCCCTGCAATACCTCGCTGGGTCAGGGCAAGAAGAGATATTTGGAACGGGTCCTTCTGTTCACTTCGTATAAAGTACCTTTTAGTGTCTGATATTTCTGCGGTTCATGTTCTGCCTGATGCCAGTCGTGTTACATGGTCGAACCATTTCATCTACGAAAGAATGCATGCACGATTTTTGACAAAAGGGGACTGGGAACAATTGGGGAGGGGAGGGGAGGAATGAAATCATTAGTTAGTGTATGGGGATTACAGAGGAATTAAGCGGCTTCTTTGTTGTTTTGTCAACCTAAAAATGGTTAGTGGGGTTGAGGCAGCGGCACAACACGGTCAGGGGATTACCCGCTGAGGAAACTTCAGGAAACTCCGCCCTCCCAACACAGACACACACGTGCATGCACGCACGCCTATTTTTGTATGTTGTATTCCCCCTCGCCCCTTTCTGCTCCAATTGGATATGCATGCGATTTGGGGGCGGAAAGGGGGTGGGGAAGGGGTCAGGGAGATACACGCACTAAGGCAGGGGAGATGGAAGTCAGACGACACCTGTGACAACAGTTTAATGTATACACGACGGCACTGGTCGTTTATTGTGGTTTCTCTGGGTGGTTGGCTTTTGTATTTTTGGTCCAAATAGTTGAACTTGTCCATTATTTCGCTAAGATATCAAACCGAACGAAAAGTATATTAGCAAGCTTCACAATATAACAAATACGAACAAAACGTGAATGTTGCGGCTTTTAAGCCTTCATCAGCACATACAAATTAAACAGTACTACACAGATGCACAAAATCACTTAGCTGGTATCTCGAAACAGCCGGGTCGGTTGTTTCTCAGCAAAATGACTACACGTGTCGGCTGGGGGAATAAATACCCCCTATGGAGTACCAGGGTCCATAACTGGGGTGTTGTGGATAAAACTGTGATGGCAGTTCAGTTCTCATTATTTCGCTAGAAAACTGTTCAGATTTATTAGTTTTAACTCCTTTGTGTAGTCAGAATTACGCCGTTCGTTTTAACTTCCCAATTTATTTCCTGGTACCCTTGCTGGGCTGTGACAGAAGGGCAGAATGTAAGACGGGCCTGCCTGCCCAATTCTAAACCCCCTTGAAAATGAAGTTTGTTGGTTGGTTCGTTGTGACAGCGACAACCTTATTTATACACGTTTACAGTTTTTGGGTATCGTTATTTCTCTGACCGGAGCTGGCTGGTTGGAACGTATTGGTTGTAAGACTTCCCCTATAGGTTCCAGGTCTCCTCCTTGTTGAAAACAAAAAGTAGAGATCCCCTTTCACGCCTTAAGGCGCATCGGACATAACGGGAAGAGCACCCATATTTTTTACAGACCAATCGATACTAGGCGGGTAATGCGTTCAGCATTACGCCGGCCGTCTTTACTTCCCCAGGATATCCATTCTGGTACTATTTTAGACTGGGTCGACCTGCGGCGCCCCATGCCATGATAAAAATCCACGCAGCCAGCAGTGGGTCTCTATTGCGGTACGTTGGAATTACGAGTCGGACTCGCAACGCCTAAGCCTCGGACGCCGCTTTCTATTGCTCCTTCTTGAGGGAATAACAATCAACCCCCCCCCCCCCCCCCCCCCAATAACAACGATGTTGTAAAATGGAACAAATTAAGCGTGTGCTCAGATCTAACGTGCTGGGCCCGGAGGCGTAGAATTCGCAACCTAGCTCACATTACAACATGCCAGCCGCCCTTTTAAGGACGAAAGAAGAAGAATAAGAAGGTTGTAAGATTTGATACTGAGGTCATTGAACTTTCCCATACTTTTGTTTTGATACCAGATGGTGTTTATTTAGTCACATTACTGCTCTGTGTTATCTTCTAAACACCTGTGCCGTATGGCGTTGGTAACACGCCTTCATGACGCGTAGAACCAATCATTGAGGTATAGATACTCCCCAATGGACAACTGTGTGCTGTTTCCACAAAGATGGTTGGCTATAGTATACCCACACACACTGCTGTCTTTGTGTCTGTGGGTTCCTATCTCTTCCACGGCGTCTCTGTCTCGCCCTCGACGTCTCTGTCTGGTCCACGACGTCTCTGTCTCGTCCACGACGTCTGTCTCGTCCACGGCGTCTCTGTCTCGCCCACGGCGTCTCTGTCTCGTCCACGTCGTCCCTATCTCTTCCACGGCGTCCCTGTCTCGTCCACGTCGTCCCTGTCTCGTCCACGTCGTCCCTGTCTCGTCCACGTCGTCCCTGTCTCGTCCACGTCGTCCCTGTCTCGTCCACGGCGTCCCTGTCTGGTCCACGTCGTCACTGTCTCGTCCATGGCGTCCCTGTCTCGCCCACGGCGTCCCTGTCTCATCCACTACGTCCCTATCTCGTCCACGTCGTCCCTGTCTCGTCCACGGCGTCCCTGTCTGGTTCACGTCCTCCCTGTCTCGTCCACGGCGCAAAGCTCGTATCTCTCCCAGAAAGTCACAAAAAGGTTCTTTTTGTTTTCCTTTCCCTTTTTACTGTTGGAGAAAAAAAAATGGAAATCGAAATTTGTACATCGGGGATTGTGAAACGCATTCATTAAACGCGAGGTAAATTTTTCATGACAGGCATTTCGTTCTTTGATGTAAAAAAAAAAAAAAGCCTTTTATTTTTACATGCCCTTGTGTGTCGATCTTGATATCTTGTGCCCGTAATTGCACTGGTCGACCTCTGCCTGTTCTCACCTAAATAATACCCAAATTTACTGTTCTGTCCCAACATTATGGTTTTGGATATCCTAATCACTGCCCCAAAACGGCCTGTGTGGCTGGGTCACCCGTTGCTGTTGACTGCCTGATCCATTCCCTCCATCTCAGACTCTCATATACAATGGATTAATTCAGTTCCCTCCACCTTAGACTCTCAGATACAATAGATTAGTTTAGTTGCCTCCATCTCAGACTCTCAGATACAATGAATTAATTCAGTACCCTCCACCTTAGACTCTCATGTACAATGGATTAGTTTAGTTCCCTGCACCTTAGACTCTAAGATACAATGGATTAGTTCAGTTTCCTCCACCTTAGACTCTCAGATACAATGGATTAGTTCAGTTCCCTGCACCTTAGACTCAGATACATTGGATTAGTACATTTCCCTGCACCTTAGACTCTCAGATGCAATGGATTAGTTCAGTTCCCTCCACCTTAGACTCTCAGATACAATGGATTAGTTAATTTCCCTGCACCTTAGACTCTCAGATACACTGGATTAGTTCAGTTCCCTCCACCTTAGACTCTCAGGTACAATTGATTAGTTCAGTTCCCTGCACCTTAGACTCTCAGATACAATGGATTAGTTCATTTCCCTGCACCTTAGACTCTCAGATGCAATGGATTAGTTCAGTTCCCTGCACCTTAG